GTTCTTAGTAAGAGTGAGGCCTCCAGTCTTTCAAACACATGTAATTAGTTCTGCTAAACCTCAGGACATACATAGGTGCCCTCTCCTTGCATGTTAAATTAGCATTTGTATCTACCTGACAATGTGTACGTACAAATAAGGAAGAAAGTGAAGTGTGCTTGATGCTTGGCCGAAGGCCTAAAATGGTATTTTAGAACATACCCAGAAAACAAGGAGGAGTGTATTTAGTCAGGTGTCTGGCATAAAAAGTAAGCTGTTGCCAATTTACTTATTAGCTGATGTCTATGCAAGTTTGGTTGGCTGGTGGACCAGTTTCAAAATCAGCATGCTCCTTGTGGGGTGATAATATTGTTGCCAGTATAAAACCTATTGCATTAGAGGTGGTTCGCTTGTGATTAAGAAAGAATTCGATAGAGGGAAAAAAACCTCAGTGTCTGTTAGAGACAATGCTAAGTCAAGGCTTGAGTTACTTGTGTCTGACACCAGCTCTGTTTTAGCAAATACTGAGACAGGACTTGCAGGCCTCATTTTACACCCACTCACTTCAATATGCTAGACAGAGGCTGGAAATTATTGTGAAATGCTGTCTCTCAACTTCCAAGGAGCTACGCCCACAACATTCATAAGGAAAAAACCAAAATAAAACGTAGTTCACAATTTAGGGGGGTTATATTTACTGATACCCTAAAATAGTCAAAATGAGGAAATGACAAATTAAGGATTAAGTAAACCTTGCAAAATTGAGCAGTGACAGCTTACAAGAATGCTGAAAAGAATGCTGCTTCACATACCATCTGCTCCTTTAGGCACCCGTACTAAAGTGAGTCTTGACCTGCCTAATCCTGTAGTATTTCTAACTGACTTCCAGGCTTTATCGAAGTGCAAGGCTGGTTTACCAAGGGACGGAATCACGGCTGCGTGGCAGAGGAGTCTGCACGCAGCAAGCGTGTGGGATATTCCAGGAAGCAGGTTGGTATCCTGCTTTCCCATTAATTTACGTGCTTCCGAGAGACATGTAAACATCTTCCTTTAGATTTATTACATTCGTACAAACTGCATGACCCCTTAAGCCCTGTGATGCAGCATCTGTTCTCCAGGGACTATCACACATTTAGTCTGACAGCATTCCTTGGCAGTATTTATTTCTGTATTGTTGAAATTTGCAATACAAGTTTTTTTAATTTTTGCTGGGTTTTTTTTCCCCAAGGTCTAGCACAGAGATTCCCAAAGGGCAGCAGCCTGCCTGCTTTGTCTGCCCGCAGCAACTGAGCTTGCTCCTACCCAAAGTGGGTGGTCCCAGGGAACAGAGGACGAGGTGTGTACAGGCCCACGGGCTGCAGAGGAAAATGGGAAGAGCAGCCATGTGCTGCCTTTTTTGTTTCTCTTTCTCTTTTTTTATGAGATGAAAAGTTTTCTAATACATCAAAAGTTTGAGAAAACAGTGATCTCTGGAGTTGCTCAAAGTGCAGCAAAAATGAGCTGTGTGGAATTTGTTTTTTCCCAGTATTGCTTTTCAGCATTTCATAACTTATTTTTAAGCTGATTTGGAGAGGCGTTTACTGATTTCTTTTTGCCTCTATATTGTTCCTGGCTTCTGTAATACTGCTTCTGAGTTACTGTCATTCTAAATGATTTTTCTGAAGGAGGAGGTTTGTCTAAAAATGGCAGTGGAGTATGAAAAATGAAGTAAGCAAGCCAAAATAGGAGCATGGGTACAAGGTCAGTACCAATGGCAGATTAACTGCTGCTGTCTAAAATGTTCCTGACTCTACTCTGTTACTCACCCGTTATTTGGACTTAGATTGTCTGAATGCCTTCAGTATTGTAAAAGAGCTATTCGTTGCCATTTGAAACACCCCAAGGACATACCAAATAATAGGTTAGTAACATTCCAGACAAGAAAAGGCCACAGACAGGAGAAACATGTGATGACAAGATTTCAGGTATTTTCCAGCTTTTGGAACAAATGCCCTGGGCAGGACACAAAGGCATGCTCTCGCTGTTCCTGATGTCCTGTGCCAGGATGGGGCCCGTGTGTTAACATTTCGTTTCTCAACGTGTGATAGTGATCCTAGAAACAAGCCATCTAAAGATAGTTCTTAGGTCAGTGGTGAAACGGATCCTGACTTCAGCGTGTACGTACACCACCTCTGTGACATCAGTTAGTTGCTGAGCTAGTGTATTAAGGTGGCTTCACGTTGTGAAATACTTCAGTTGTCTGATCACTGTGTGGTAGAAGATGTTTTATTTGCTTAAATGCAGCATAAAGAGCAGAAGCAAATGTATCCTGCGTGGTGAAAAGCTTGCGTATTACCAGTATCTCCAGCAGCAGTCGCGGCGGGGAGGGGGATGGAACAGGCAAGCGTATACTGGCAGCACTTCACAGAAATGTGCACAGACCTCTTCGGAGGTTTCTCCTGCAGCTGCGACAGCTCTTTGGCTTCAGTTCGACCTTTGCGGAGGTAGCCTAAGAACAGGGTAAATGGGTCATGTAAAATGAATCACTGCCTTTCAATAGTGCTTCAAAGGGCACTATGTATCACTGCAGATGTGAGACTATTAAGTGTGTGCATCAGCCTATGAAAATAGGATTTCATCATAAGCTTTGTCTGGTGTGGAGCTTGGAGACCATTATATATGAACCCCAAGGGAGACAAGATTAGGTTCCAAGATTTTGACTGCAAAATGCAAAGTCTAAGTCATCAGAATCTGAAGCTGTTTCAGTGACCACAGTTATTTTTATTTTTGGAAGTGGATTATTGATGACACATCCCTACAGCCCTCAGCACGCAACCTCAGCTGTCTGGACATTCCTCGCTGCCTAGCTACCGAACGCATCTGATGCTCTTATATGGTCTCTTGGCCAGGTCTGTAGGTCTCAGCCTTACGGTGCTTAAGGGGTTTGTGCCCACTTGCAGACTGACTGGTCTCCTACATTACAATACAGACACCGGGGAAACCTGAACTCGGAAGGTTGTTAGTTATCCTCAAACACCCTGGGAAATTCTTTTACAGTCACATGCCTTCCCGAGTAGGTATCTTTACAATTAATACAGTACCTTGTCCCCACCCCCTAATTCAGAAAAAGCACCCACACATCATGACAAGAAACAAAGCAGCTACATCCAACGTTTCAGCTGGCTGTTCAAAAATTTGAGAGCAGCAGTACAGAAGATTTTGAAGTGGACAATTTCCTCTCAAGGAGGATACCAGATTCTGTTTTATATAACTCATTATTTAAATATCGCTACTTCAAAACTTATTTCCAGCAAGAAAAATCCAGCTGGCTCGTCTGCTGATTACTCACTGCAACTAACATACCAGCACCTAAAATTTACTGAGAGGAAAACTGATCCTCCGAATCTTACACCATTTAGACATTCAAAGGGGAAAAATAATCAAGGTAGTTTAGCATCTATCCTGAATGCAGGCTGCTTACACGTATACACACTAATACTGAATGGCACAGGTGCGGCAAGATCAGTCTGAAGAAGTGACAGTGTAAGTGTTCTTTGGTTTAATGTTACATAGCAACATTTCAACGAGACAGCATTTCCTACATCTCCATGGCATTATCTTTGTCACATGGACATTGTACGTGAAAACTTCCATATATGCTTGTAAACTACCTTTCAAAAAAATCAGCTGTTGCTAGAACCCTGCAGGCATCTCACAGAGAAATACCTCAGCAACCATACTGAAGAGCACTGACATGGCGTAATAACAAACTTGTGAGAAAAGGAGCAGGTGTGGCAGTCTGAATCCACAGATTAAACAAAAAATTGGGAAAAGAATGTCTGAAAACTCATTTTATTGAAGCCTAGAAGTAGAATAAACCACCCAGGAACAATAAAAAAATAAAAAAGTAAGAAAAAGTATGCCTACTGAGTATACTTTGTCAAGTTAACTTATTTACAAAGCTAAAGCCGTCAAGAACTGCCATACTGGCACCACAAGCAAGATGAAGTAACCAAGCCTTCGTGCTTGGAAAATGAGACAAACCCTCCTTACGCTATATGCTGTCCCAGCTTTTACAAGCCCTTTTGCTAAGGAAAATTCCTATTTCTTGGGGTCTTTTGAGTCACATGAAATAGCTCAGGGCATGGTTTCTGGATAAGAGGTCACCACTTTAATTGATAAACATGTAGGTAAGATAAATTCCCCTTAGGCTTTTCAGCTTGCAGTAGCCAAGTGAATGAGACACATGGACGGACACGATCATGCTAACAGCTAACAGAACCACCTTCCTCTTTTCTTGGTATTTGAGACAACAGCACCAGCACAGCTGGTTTTAAACAAATGATTCTTGTTTGCTTAAAAGCCATCTTATCAATGCAGCTTAGGAATAAGTATGATCCTTTAAAAAGTGAGAGGGACTTCAGCATGTATAGGGTTTTACCAAGTTAATTCTCAGAATGACTTTGCTCACATTCTCACACACAAATGCATTAGCTGCAGGAAAATAAAGTTTGATGTAGGTTTTCTGGCCATGTATTGCTGTTAATTACTGCCAGCACAGACACTGTAGCTCAGAGATTCCTTTGCAGAAGCTTCCTTCAGCAGAAGGGAAAAAATATGCCTAATCCCCACTTATTGCCAGCATTAAGACTTAGCAAACAGGAATGCAAACTTTGACATGAAAATATGCCAAAACCTATCAATATTAAAAGGAAATAAAAGGTGGGCACGATGCCTGCTTAAGAATCATACATGGTCTCTGCTGGCCATTAGGCAATTGTAACAATCTTTAACCAGTTTCTTGGCTAACCACTGACACCAGTCAGATCTCACTTGAAAAACCTGAGTCAAAAATGCAGCTGTACAAATCTCTTAAAGACACCAGCACATACTGCTAGGAGCATTTTGAACTGTGTGACACCAAACAAAATATTACAAAAATGAGTTTTCCAGCTTGGTTTGCAACTACAAGAAAAATACAATTATCAGCTGCACTTGTAAATGCTTAATAGAAATGTCATTCTTCACAAAAGAATTTGAGGTATTTTAGCTATATAGCAATCTTTATTTCAAAATGGCATTTATTACAAAAATGTAAAAATCCAGCTAAACCAGAAACATTGAGATTATTTTTCTGGACTATCAAGTCCATGGATCTTTGTCCCCGTATCCTTTTCCTCACAACATCTTCCCCACTTCCAGTCTGATTACACGGGTGCAAATGTGCCTAAATGGCCTTGCAATAGATAAATACATTGAGAAAGGCAAAAGCTGTAAAGGTAAATGCATGCAACAAGTTCTATCAGGAAGAAACCCTCAAAAATAAACGTAAGTGTAAAGCAGAGACAATCTACAAGTATCAGGAGCTTTGCTCAGTCATCCTTGTCTTTTGCTCCGTGTTTCAGGATGCGTGTGAATTCAATGTAGTTGAAATTCCCCTTTTTGTCGATGGGTGCCTCTCTGTACAGCTCATCCACCTCTTCGTCTGTGAACCTGTCTCCCATCGTCGTCAGCAGCTCTCGCAGGTAGTCTTCTTGGATGAACCCTAGAACACAATGTAAGAGGACGTAAGAAAAAGGAGTTTTTAGATTTATCTGCTAATAGATGGATGATGACTTCTTTCTTTGAATTCTTAGTTTCAATGAAAGATACCTGCAGTCTTTGTTGCCAAATAAGAAACAAAGCCATTAAAACCTACCGCTATACTTGCCAAATAATTACAAGCATTCAATCAAGTAAAGCCTTTTAGTTAATTTGCATGGTCTCACTACTTCAAGTAAAGGCCATTTTATGATTTGCCTGTGTTCTTTCAAAGAATATACAAATTTGTCAGTCTACATATTGGACCTTCTTCCCAACAGCAGGGCTATACTCTCCGTAGTACCGAGAGCCTTCTAACAACTGTGTATTTTGCACAAAGGAGATCCACTTGTCTAGAACATTGCTATTGAAAACCACTAAAAAAAATTATGGAACTTGACTACCAATGTTCAACAAGCGTATGAAACACAGGGAAGTCTGAAATATTTCAAAGATTTTAAATTGATCTTAAATCAGTCACAAAACTCAGATTTACTAGACTGGTTTCAAAGAATAAATTTTTGGCATTGTTTATTAAACAAGCAGCTTATATAACTTGTGATTCCTTCTGTCAGCACTGTCGTGAGTCACGCAAGGTGGTTCTTTTCTGCTGCTTTAAGTGCAGCTTAACAGAGGGATACAAGTTGCTGACAGAAAACAAGTTCTTCATAAAAACACAACAGCTTTGAAAACAAGGATTCCCCTTACGAAAGTTGCCCCAAAGCTGAATTTTAAGTCAGGAAAAATTTAAGACCCTGGTTCCGAATCAGCATCTTTTTTTCCTTTCTTCTGCCCTGAACAACAGAACCGAAGTGCTAGAAGTTTGGGAAAGGTAACTTCAGCTGCTGAGGATACACGGCATGATTTTCAGTTTGCAGAAATCAGAATTTTCAGAGTTAAACAATTCATCACTACTCCTATGAATACAAATATTTATTGTTTCAAAGGTAAGTGGAAATAATACATGTGCAGTTATTTTACCCACATACCTGTTGCTTCTTCATCAAAGCAAGCAAAAGCATTCCTGATTACGTCTTCCGGATCAGTGCCATTTAACTTCTCACCAAACATTGTGAGGAACATTGTGAAGTTTATCGGCCCTGGAGCCTCATTCATCATGGCATCCAGGTATTCATCCGTTGGATTCTTTCCTACAAATAAAGGGATTCATCTTTGGTTTAGTGTTCAAACCAAAAGTAATCTGAATAGCATAATACAACCTGAGATGCCTCTCAAAAGCTGTCCCAAACTCAGTATTTTAACTACAACAGCACAAATTTGCTTGGCAACCACAGACAGAAAAGTGCCATTACCAAGGGAGGCGAGCATGTCGTGCAAGTCCTCTTTGTCAATGAAGCCGTCCCTGTTCTGGTCGATCATGTTGAAGGCCTCCTTGAACTCCTGAATCTGCGACTGATCAAACATTGCAAATACATTGGAAGTGGCGCGCTGCGGGCGCTTCTTGGTGGTCTTCGTCTTTGCCCTTTTGCTAGACATGTTGGCTGTTGGTTCTAGGGAGACTGAAAGATATCCAAGATTTAACCTTATTAAATCATATTACAAGTCCCTGAGAGAGAGATGGATAAAGCAATATCAAATTCCACGTTACAAGTAAATACTCCAAAGTACACTTTTATTTTAACACATCCTGCTCTAACTCCTTTCATTTGGACTTCACTTGCTATTAAGCATAATGTCTTTGAGGATTCAGGCACTGGCACTGTAGGCCAATAGCAGGCTACATTAAAAAAACAAATCATAGTTCTTGAAATTAAATTCACACAGTGCTTATATTGCTGATTCAATACTCTATCTGCATCTTCCACAAATTAAGATGACTACATACTTGGCACTTTAGGAGGCACTTCTGACCTACCAAGTGGAAGGATATGGGCTGCTAACCTGGCATAGTATGTAGCAGTTAAATAAATCAAGCAGTACAGTAAACTACCATTCTGGGGGCAGGGGAAGTATTTTAGGCTCTGAATAGCATATTGTTTGAATAGCTGCTGTCAGGACACAGAGTGACCCTGATGACAGCCTAACGTTTTTGTGGTGATCGTTGGATGGTGCTGGGGGAGAGATCTGCCAGAGAGCTCCTACTATAGTGCCTTCATCAAAGTCAGCTAGAGGACTGTATGTGTTGGAAAAAGGACACTGACGTGGCTCAAAAGCACTACGTTGCTATTCCCTTACACAGTGGAACTATTACACAATACATATGCAAATACAAGCATACTCTTTTTAAAATTAATGACATAGTAGTTGTAAAAGTCTGAAGATTGTGTCTTTTAAATTATCAACCTTTTAAAACATTTCTATATGCTCACACAATCTTTATATAGTTTCACATATCACAAATATACTAATTTCATTGTTTCCCCTGAGCTGTCAAATGAAGACAAACATGGCAGTTTACATGTTGTAACAGTAATATTATCAGGGTAGAGTGAGGCTTTCAAGTTAACTGCTCCTTTTTAGCCAGGAAGACACATTTAGGGTTCAACTATGCTTGACGGTACACAGACGAAAAGCTGAGTCATTCACTGAAACGCAGGCACCAAGATCTCAACATTGCTATCGGATCAAAGTAAAGCAGACCCTGTTTACTGTTGTTTCTAGGAGTCTTGCACACCTCTACACGTCAGTTTTATCTAATGCAAGGAATTAATGCTGTTGTAGTCCTTTATTGTGCACAAACCAGACATTATGCAAACCAGATTCCTTCTATCCTCAGTTTTTAATTTTACGGGAAGCACTCACAGCAAGTGTCCCGAAAGAGGCCAAATTGAAGCTTCACTGTAGTCAGAAGAACGGCAACATTTTGAAATTTACACTAAGAGTTGATTTTATAACTTTAAAAAAAATTACCTGGTCAGAAATACAATTCCAATCAGAGTCACAGCACAGTTCTAATGGTTTCTTAGTTAGTTTGCTCAAAGTTACTACATTTTCTGTTAGACTCCTGAAAAGCAAGACTGAAGTCACTAACCTGGATTCATCCTTAAAAAAAAAAACCACGGAGTAAAATTGAGCAAAGTAACTCCCTTACACGGTCAATCAACCCAATATTCAGGCAAAAAGCAGTTAGGGTTTTTTTTGTTTTTAATTAAAGGAAAGACATTTTACCTTGCTTTGTATCAGATGCATGACATGCTGTACCAAGCATCTGGATCATAAACGGATATTCCATGGTTACGTCCTTCTCAGTCCGTCTACAAAGAGCGTTACTGACTACCCCTGCTAATTCCACACTTTTAAATCCTACGTGCATATACAACGTTATTCTGACGTATAAAAAACCCATTATGTCCCAAACTAAAAATAGCCTATGAAATGCAACTGCGCATCGTTCAACAACACTGAAGTTCTCTTCATTGCATTCACTAACCACAAGCTATCTGAGATGTCTGGCCTCCAACAACACTTCAGGAAATAAATACCAACTCCTGACATCTAGATATTTATAAAGACAGCTGACAACAAAGGTAGCTTGCTTTCAAGCTGCAGTCAAGAGTTGTGCTCAACTTCAGTCTTTTTCTTACCTCAGTAAAACCCCTCATATGTTATTGTTAAACTCCGAATTATTGATTAGAAGTTCCACTACCCAAAACAGAGCCAAACAGTATCTCTAATAACTGTTCTCTGAAATAATTCACAGCCTTCAGGATATGGCCTGTTCAAAGTAAACTAAAAAGTTTACATTGCATGTACTGCAAGGCAGTGCTCCCAGCAAGCCACCACCCGCAATTCTCTCACATACAATTCAAGCCTCATCGAGAGGCGGTAACAAAAGCATACTGCCCGCTGCAGCCAGACACGGCAGGAAGAGAACCTCTTTCTTCTTAATTCTGTTCTGAAGATTGCCCCATCAGAATATTGTGCTAGAGAAGATGAAAAATCTGCCAATGCTTGCATTACTATTTTCTAAGTTTCTCCAAACCAGGCTTGGGAGGCAGCCTCGCAGACTACAGAAGGCAGCAGGCTCCCGCTTGAAGAGACCTGTCAGCCTGCGTATAGAGAAACATCAGGTCTCACAAGATGGCATGGCCTTTCAGCACAGGTATTCCCGAAATGCTGCACTTGGGTCTGGGAAACCCTATTAGAAAAAGGGTGATAAACTGGAACGTGTTCAGAAAAACAAGGACATCAATCCAGTTAGCCAAAGAGATCGCTTTGTGATGAAAAAGTTCCAAGTGCTTACACTTAGTGTTATCTCTGTGCACAACCAGTGAATGATGTAACGAGCAAGAACTAACCTCATTTGAATCAAGCACTAGACCCGCTAATTTTAGAGAAAATTTCATCTGATAAATCCACTAGGTCATTTACTTAAAAATTATGCTTTTATAATTGAGATAGGGTAAGTATAGGCTGAAAATGAAAAAATTTCACTAGACAAAAAGTGGAAATGCTTCACATCAGGCAGTACGAGTCACAACAGGCAGGTTTAGTCTCTGCTGTTTAATACTACGATGCACTGAATGGTCTGGGCCTTGTTTTGGAAACTGTTCAAGAAACTTCTGATATAAGATCCTGCCTATAAGACTTACCATAACATATTTGCAAAAACATGAACCTTTATTTAGGAATATTTTCACACATTAAAAAAATTACTGAATTGCACCCCCTGGACTAGAGGAATAGTAACAGCACCGTGCCACTCTGCGCTGCTTGTACACGTACGTTCATTTGCTTAGTTGAGCCACAGCAATGGATATCAAACCACAGAAGCACAGAAAGTCAATTTATGCTCCTTGCCTCTGGGAAAGAAATAAACCCTAGAAGGAGACAAAAACTGAGCAACTGAAGAGCTTGAGACAGACAGTAAGATACGAAACTTTACAATCCACTAACAGCGGTGCAAGTTGGATCTGTTTAGAGGCAGCAACCAAAAGTTGCGCTTCAGAGAACAGCCTCGTGTTTCAGCGGTGGTTTTATAAGGACTATGAATGTCTATCACTCAAAATGAAAAAACCCACACACAACACAAAAAACCACACCCAAGAAAGTATCTGTATAAAGTTTAGTACTGAATATTTAACTTTCCCAATTATTTAGGAACTTTATTAATAAACTACTACATCACGGTCACCGCCTCTTAAACTATCCCGTTCAGAAGTCCCGCCTCAGCGCTGCGTCCCGAGTTCTGCCCATTCCCCCGGTGACAGCA